GGGGGGGGTTTAGGGCTCCCAAAGTGCTGAATATACAGGGCCATGGTATGCGTGTCACCCGTCAGCCATATCACAAGTCTAACCAGGAAGGATAAATGGTAATAGAGCCGAAACCTCTCTGGAGGAAAAGTCACTGACCAGCACGCTGGCGAGCCATTCCGACTTCCCTTCCCACATGCTAGTTCCAGATCCGTGACTGAAACCATGGATTACCACCACAGCCAGGCAACTAGCATTGCGAGAAGGACCTCAGCAATTGCAGCCCCTGGATGGATGATCTGGGCACCTAGGTCATGTGATTTGTGCTGCAGAAAAGGATTGGCCAGTCTGAACTCAGACCCCTCCCCCTTCGGTGGAGCTCACGAGACCTTAGACCAGGGGTAGCAAACCTCCGGCCCGCCAGCCGTGTAGAAACTAAAAATCCCATGATGCATCTCTCTTCGGGAGTCGTGGCTGTGAGAATGTTGCAATGCCTCGTGGGATTTGTAGTTCCGCCGGAGGTTTGGCTACCCCCTGCCTTAGGGCCTGCAGAGATGTGAGCAGTACTGAAGGGAGCCTGGAGCTGCATTATGATTATTATTTCAGCCTATTAGTCTTTATCCAACACAAGTTACTCCAGCTCTCTGATCAGCACTTTAATACATCAGGTAGCCACAAGGGCGAGAGCAGCTTAGAAATGTGACCGCACGTAGAACGCGCGATGTGCTCCCTGAACTGGAAATAAAGATGAAGGATTATTGCTACGTGACTAGAATCTGACATGTGACTATAAATATATATATATATGAGAGGAGTAAAAGCTCTTACAGACCAGCTCCAGCTGGTAACCTCTGGTACAGCTCCTTCACCTCTTCGTGTTTGGCCTTCCCTTTATCCACGCTCTGTCTGCGCATCTCAGACATCTCCACGCACCACTCCTCAAACTTACAGTTATCCAGCTCCACCAGTTTCTGGAGGAAACCTGCAACACACCACAACATGGAAGAAGAAGGTCACCAACCCCTCCACGAGGTCCCCAACCCGCCCACGAGGTCCCCAACCCGCCCACGAGGTCCCCAACGCGCCCACGAGGTCCCCAACCCGCCCACGAGGTCGCCAACCCGCCCACGAGGTCGCCAACCCGCCCACGAGGTCGCCAACCCGCCCACGAGGTCGCCAACCCGCCCACGAGGTCGCCAACCCGTCCACCCCCAGTAAGCAAGATTGCAAATGACACTTTTCACCTTTCTCCTGCTGTCTTTAGAGCTATAGTGGGACGTTCACATTTCCTTTCATTGCCTGAGTCATGAGCAATTACATAAACCCTCCCCCGCCCCCAATACATGGGGCCCATTCTGATCCATGGCGCCACCATTTCTGGCTCTCAGCTCCACCCCGGGCTGAAGCCCAATTTATGGACGTTCCTATGGGGAGAGATACAACACCGCTCTGTAGCCACCAGCCCCTCTCCCCAGAGTGCAGAAAGTCTGGTATGAGCGATCCTCTCATGGCACTGACCAGATGGGGCAGCCAGGAACAGCCGAGACCGACCGGTACAGCACCGTGTAGAATGATACGCTTTTAACACTGCCCACAGTTTGGCGTGTGTTCCCCCCATGAACACACACAGGAGCGTTGAACATGGTCGCTCCTGCCCCCCTGCTGTGGTGAATGACACCACCCGTCTCCGGCGGTGCCTGATGCCAGATACAAGTCTCCGGTTAAGCAGCGTGGTCAAACAACAGCGGAGGGGGGAGCACACCGCTGACCATGCTGACAACAACCACAGATCAGAATTGGACTCCATGTATTTGTTCCCCGGGGGGGGGGTTCCACAATTTAGATGGTACAGCGCTACTACTGCTGTAAAAAGAGCGCGCTCCCTACAACAGATGACAGCGGACTAGGGGGCTTAAATGGGAGCGGGGGATAGTTTTACAGCGCCTTCTCATCCTTGCTTTCTGACACTTGGCAGGAGACGTGTTCCATGGAGATGGGGGACACGGCTGCTGACATTGGCAACTGGGTAAGTTATGGGAAGCCTCCAATGGTCACCCCTCCCCCCAGGATATAATG